CCTTGAGGATCTTCATCACTTCCTCAAGGTGTCTCATGTGCTCTTCCATCGATTTGTTGAAGATTAGTATGTCATCCAGATAAACAACAACAAACCGGTTAATCTGATGGCGGAACACTTTATCCATGAGACTTTGAAAGGTGGCTGGCGCATTCGTAAGACCGAAGGGCATGACGGTAAACTYGTACAGCCCATCGCGAGTTTTGAATGCGGTTTTGTGCTGGTCCGCAGGATCGACTTCGATCTGGTGGTAGCCAGACTTGAGATCGATCTTGCTGAAGACTTTGCACCCACCTGCAGCATCAAGCAAATCATCGATACGTGGCAAAGGATATGCATTCTTTCTCCTGATCTGATTCTACCCGCGGTAGTCAATACACATCCGCAACTTACCTCCTTTCTTAGGGACAAACAGCACCGGTGCACCAAACTCAGATTCACTTGGTTTGATCCATCCCTTCCCAATCATATCATCAATTTGCCGTCGCAACTCCTCCAATTCGCCTGAGCCCATTCGATAGACACAACCCTTTGGAGGAGTGCTACCTTCAATCAACTCGATCCGGTGTCGGACCGGACGCACGGGGACTCCATGCGGTTCGGCCAAGACGTCAGGAAATCGGTTGAGAAGGTTGCAAATTTCCAGTGGGATTTCCGGAGGGGGATCATCACACTCAGGAGCAAGCATGTCAGTTTGTATAGGTGCAGCCAAAACAACAGGATTGGAAGTAGAGTCATTTGGACTAGAGATGGACTTAGTAGAGGTAGAAGTAGTTGCATCCGAGGTGGACACAACATGCAAAATAGAATCATTATGTACAGCAAAAATGGAAGGCACATGAGCAGGCCTAACAAAGGCTATATACATTTGCTCATCAGTTTTGCACTTGCGCCACTTTTTGCAGAACTGCATTGCATTGAGAAAGGTCACTTGGGACTCGCGCGGCTCATCCAAGAGGACTGGACGCTCGATTCCCATGGCATCTTTGACCATGAATTGTGAGTCMTTCMACGTGGTTCTTTCACATTGGGCSTGCAACCAGCCCAAGCCAATAACCGCGTCGAAGGGGCACTGATCAAGGACATAGAAGTTCAATTCATGCGTGATTGTGCGGTCAGCATCAAAGGTAGTGCGCACACCTTTGACTGCATGCGTAGATGTGACAACCTCCTAGTTGCCTACTTGGGTCCGACAAGGATTCTGCAAACGAATGCCGTGCGGTGAGTAGTTGGCGGTTGCACAATAATCAGCCAACGCACGGATATAACGRCCATTAATGTAGAGTTTGAAGAAGATCAACTTCGTCCTCCCTTGTGTGCGTTCTTGCTTCATGTGAGCCCAACGCGTCAACAGAGCATGAAAGTCTTATCTCTTCCGACTCTACCCAAGGCTCCTTGTATAGGATGTGTAACTTTTCAGCCTTGGAATCAGCATCAGATGGGGTTTCAGGAGAGGTTTGCTGAGTGGGATCATAATCCAAGGAAGAATGTGTACCATCATGTCCAGCCTCTTCATCCGTAGAGTGTGCTGATGATGCCTCTACCCCCGTTGCTGGTTTCCCTGCTGCAATTTGAAACAGTGTTGGACTGAATGTCCCGGTTTGGTGCAATGCAGGCAAACTCCTCTCTTCACCCTGTTCTTCCACTCACTTTCACTAATCCGGAGATCTACCCATGGTTTTGTGGCAGGATCTTCCGGTTTTGGTGGAATCTTTGCTCCCTTGGGAAGAAGGATAGTATTGGTGTTGTTCTTCATTGTGGTCCTCGACCCCTTACTCTTAAAGGCAGTCTTCTTAAAGGCATTCATGGATTCCTCGTCATTTACAAACTCTGACTTATGGGCTGACAAAGAGCAAGATGCCCCGCAGTCTTGCTCTTGATCGTCATCAAGAGAAGATTCATCCACGAGRGTCTCCTCGTCAGCCTCAAGCAGATCATGCGCTGCAAAACGGTTGCTGTCTAAAAACCGTTTGCGGCTGGTGGCCTTTTTGCCACTTGATCCACCCGGGAGGTCTTGTGCCTCCAGCTTGACTAAGTCCCGCATAAGGGTAAGCCAATCTGTTTATCCGCTGAGCCCAAGCCCTAGGCGATCGTTTAGAGTAGAGGGGACCGTACCTTTTATCACATCCAAGCAAGATTGCGCAGTCATCTCCAGATCYGGAGTAGCAAAGAGTTTACTAACATACTGGTGCACGTTGTGCATGGTGCCGGTCCACTTGTTGTGCTTGAGCTTGTCAAGCTTAAGTCTTGCTTTAGCTSYAGCATGTGGATCAGCATATTGTTTGATCAAGAGATCCTCAAGTGCGGCAGTAGGCGTAACCTTTAGCCATTTGTTCAGGTCTATTCTCTTATAGCCTGATTGGACAGCTTGGGTTTCTAGGAAACCCCGCACGACGGGCTCCACATTGGTCCCCGGGATAGACGACTGAGTGGATGGGGGTGTCCCCAATACATCAAAGTAGGACCGCATAGAGCTGATCCAAGACTCGACGTCGTCCTTTCCGTCATACTTGGACGGAATCTGCGCCGCCTTCCTGTCGATGTAAGCAAAGCTGCCGCCTGGCCCAGCCATTGTTGGGTCCGGGCCCGGGGCTGCAACAGTTCCAGAAGTCCCTGCACCACCACTTGCCGCTGCGGCAGCAGCAGCAGCAGCAGCGGGGTCTGGACTTGCTGCAGATCCGCTTTGGCTGTTAACCATACTCAAAGAAGAAGAAGAAGTGGAAGGAGAAGAAGTAGACGTAGTCAGAGGGGCAAAACAGGATTGACACGCAGCATTGGAGGCAGGGTAGGCGAGTGAAGAGACGATTTGAGCATGTTGCGAACTAGCAAACTGTTGCAGCTGATCGCGGTGCTGCTGCGCCATCTTGGTCATGTCTTCGCGCAACTCCTTGAGCTGCTTAAACACCTGTGCGAGTTGGCCAGTATGGTCCTCAGCAACCCGGACCCCTGCTAAGGCTCTGAGG